AACTCCCAACCACCTGTAACTTCCTGTAGCCTATGTAGGCACCAGGCATGCACATGATGCACATACTCACAGGTATGCAAACACTCATATCCAAAGTAAACAACAATTTAAAAAAAAATTTCACACAGCAAAAGACATCATCAAGAGAATGAAAAGACAGTCCAGCAGTGGTACACACCTTTAATCAGCGGACAGAGGCAAGTGGAGCTAGCTCTGAGTTGGAGAACAGCCTGGGGCTACACAGAGAAACCCTGTCTCATTAAAAACAAAACAAAACAAAAAACCCAGAGAGAAGGAGGAAAGGAAGGAAGGCATGCCACAGACTAAAAGATATGCAAAAGTTAGTATAATTAAAAAAAAAAAAAAAAGCCAGGTGTGTGGTATTATTTTATTTGTGCTCTAACAAATAAAGCTTGCCTGGGGATCAGAGGAAAAAGCCAGCCACTTTATTAAACACAGATGCCAGGCAGTGGTAGCACATGCCTTTAACCCTAGCATTCGGGAGGCAGAAATTCATCGGGATTTCTGTGAGTCCAAGGCCACACTGGGAACAGAGCCAGGCGTGGTGGCACATGCCTTTAATCCCAGCACTAGTTAATCATAGAGGTCTGTAGGTCTGTACAGACAGACAGGAAATGATGGAGCAGGACAAAAAGAGGAAGTGATGTAGCTTGGAGGAGAGAAGAAGTAAGATGGCAGGCACAAAAAGGATATAGGAAGTAACTTTCTTGGGCTGAAGATTTCTAGTGGTAAGAACTTGTGGCTGGCTTGTTCTATCCCTCTGATCTTTCAGCTTTCACCCCATCTGGCTCCATGTTTTTTATTAATAAGACCGTTTAGCAATTTTATTAATAAGACCGTGTTACACAGGCATGGTGGCATACATCTTTAATCCCAGCACTCAGGAGATGAGGGGGTGGGGGTTGTTCTGTGAATACAAAGCCAGCCTGGTCTACCTTGCAAGTTCCAGGTTAGTCAAAGACATAGTAAATCCCGTCTCAAAAAAAAAAAAAAAAAATCCAAAACTATAAATAATATTCTACTGATGTTAATATTATATTATCATTTGCACTAAACTTTCTGGTTGCTGTGACCAAAAAACCTGAGAGATCGAGGCCAGCCTGGTCTACAGAACAAGTTCCAGGACAGGTTCCAAAGCTAACAGAGAAATGCTGTCTTGAAAAACAAAAACAAAAAACACCTGAGAGAAACAGGGAGAGAAGACATACTTGCCTCACAGTCTCAGAAGTTTCAGTCCATGGTAGGCTAGTTCTGTACTTCTGGGTTGGTGGGGATGCAAAGAACCCTTCAACAAACTGCAGCAGGGAAGCACAGCAAGAACATGCCTGAAGCAGCTGGCTTCCAGGCTCTGCTTTTATTCCAGCTAGGCTCGCAGTCTGTGAAGTGGTGCTACCACATTCAGAGAGAGTCTCTATTCCTTAGTTAGTCCTCCTTAGGGATACCCTCGGTGCTACCACATTCAGAGAGAGTCTCTATTCCTTAGTTGATCCTCCTTAGGAATACCCTCATAGACACAACAAAAATAGCGCCTTGCTAATTTCCTAAGGACTGCTTTTTTCCTTTTTCAATGTGAGTGTGTCTGTATGTGTGCACGTGCCCACAGAGGTCAGAAGCCAGGCACTGGATTCCTTGGGGCTGCTGGAATTACAAACATTTGTGAACTGTCTGATAAGGGTGCTGCGGTCTTAATTCTGGTCCTCCAATAAAGCATGAGCACTCTTATTAACCAACCTCTGAGCCATCACTCCAGCTCCTCCTAGACACTTATTAATCCTAATTAGTTGGTGATCAAGATTAACCAGGATGAGCTGACGAGATGGCTCAGTGATTAAGAGCACTTGCTGCTCTTCCAGAGGACCTGAGTTCAATTCCCAGCACCCACATCAGCTCCAGTTCCAGGGTACCCATTGCCCTTTTCTGGCCTCCACTGGCACCTGTACTCATGAGTTACAAAATTTTTAAAAATTAAAAATAAAGAACCATTTACCAGTCCATAAGTCAGCGTAGTCACCCTGGGGGCTCAGGACTAGAAAGAGCTACTACAAGGGCACTACCCATTATCTGTTTCTGATCCAAGACAGGCAGATATACTTAGTGAAATTTCATCAGATGGTATGATTATTACATGTACAATTTATAAATATGTCACATTTCCCTGAAAGTATTTTTTAAACTTTTTACTTTTATTTTATGTGTACTGGAATTTTGCCGGCATGTGTATAGTGCCAGCAGAGGCCAAAAGAGTACATCCACTCCTCTGACTAGAGTTGTTAGTGACTGTATTGGTGCTGGGACTTGAACCCTGCTCATCTTGGAAGAGCACAAGGGCTTTTTAACCACTAAACCATCTCTCCAGCCCATTAATTTTTTAAGAGTTCTTTTTCTTTATTTTACGCATGTATGCATGTGCACCATGTGCTTGCCTTGGAGGCCAGATGAGGGTGTCAGATCCCAGGGAACTGGAGTTGTAGGCAGTTGTGAGCTGCCATGTTGGTGCTGGGAACTGAACCTGGGTCTTTCCCAAGAACAGTAAGTGCTCTTAACCACTGAACCATTCATTTCTCTAGCCCTCCACCTCAAGTATTTTTAAAATGGCTTCACCTCTGGGAGCAAAGGTATGAGAAAAATGTAAAAATTCTTTCAATTTAAAGCAGTCAAATGCTACTGTAACAAGTCAGAAGGGCAAACCTAGGTCAGTAGGCCGAGGGAGTCCTGAAAGTGAGCCTAGCCTGCTACCCCCTCGTTTTGGACACCAGATCACCTGTCTTTTTATTTGTTTGTTTATTTCTCTTTGGTTCCCCCCCCCCCCCAGATAGGCTTTCTCTGTGTAGCCCTGGCTGTCCTGAAACTCACTCTGTAGACCAGGATGGGTTCAAACTCAGAGATCCTCCCACCTCTGCCTCCGAGTGCTGGGATCAAAGGCGTGTACCACCACGCCCAGCGTAGATCTCTTATCTTTTTAAAGAGTACCTAATTGGAGAGCTATCCAACTCAAATGAGAATCACAATTTGTAAAGATGATGGCTAATACTATCAAACTGACAGGATCTAGCATCCTAAAGAGACAAGGCTCTGGATAGGTCTATGAAGAACTGTCTAGATAAGGTTGACTGGGGTACCCACCAGAACTGGGCAGCACCCTGGGCTGGGGCCCCAGCCTGTATAAAAAGTAGAATGCTATGGGACTGCTAGCTGTCATCCCTCGCTCCTCCATGACTGCAGCGGCTTCAAGCTCTGGCTGCCATGACTTTCCACCACAATGGACTTGACCTCAAATAGGAAGTTGAAGTAAACCCTTCCTGGAGCTGGAAAGTGCCTCAGTGGTTAAGGGGACTTGCTGCTCTTCCAGAGGAAAATAATACCTGGCACCCACATTGGGGGGCTCAGACCTGCCTATAACTGCAGCTCCAGGAGATCCAACACCCCTCCAGCCTCTACACACAGCAGAAACACACGCACATACATACGCATAAATAAGAACGAAATTCATCCTTTTAAAAATAAAAATCAAGGCCGGGCGGTGGTGGCGCACTCCTTTAATCCCAGCACTCAGGAGGCAGAGGCATGTGGATCTCTGTGAGTTCGAGGCCAGCCTGGTCTCCAAAGCGAGTTCCAGGAAAGGTGCCAAGCTACACAGAGAAACCCTACCTCGAAAATAAATAAATAAATAAACACACACATACATACATACATACATACATACATGCATACATACAAATCAACCCTCCCTTCCTCAGTTGCCTCTGTCAGCTATTTCATCACAACAGTGAGAAAGGTAACTAAGACCGTGTGAACTACAGAGCACAGACTGGAGCTGGGCACGGGGACTCACGCCTGCAATCCCAGCACTCAGGAGGAAGAGGTGGGCAGAGCTCTGTGAGTCTGAGGCCAGCCTGGGCTACACAGTGAGACCCTATCTGAAAAGAAAAAAAGAGAGAAAAAGAAAAAGAAAGGAAGAAAGGAAAAGAGAAAGAAGGCTTCTAATTTTAGACATAAATACTTCGCTAAAAACAGACTGGTTATTCAAAACAGATACAGGTTGATTTTAAATTCATCCAAGTGGCTACCCATAAAACAGGAACAAGAAGAAAAAAGCATTATTCTGTATGCCTACTACTGTAGGAATCCTAATAACTAGATATCAAGCCAACAATTCCTCTATCTTTCCTGTAACCAAAGTTAAAAAATGAAGGCTGGCCAGGCAGAGCGGTGGCGCAAGCCTTTAATCCTACCACTTGGGAGGCAGAGGCAGGTGGATCTCGGAGTTTGAGGCCAGCCAGGGCTACAGGGAAACTCTGTCTCAAAAAATAAAGAAGGCTAGGAGATGGTTCAGCTGGTAAGTGCTCACCACGCCAACCCGGGGCTGAGTGCAGATCCTCCGCACCAACAGAGAAAAGCCAGGTGCAGTGGCTGTGCCTGTCCCCCAGCATCCGGAAGGAGGCCAGAGGAAGATCCCTGGGGCTGGCGGACAGTAAGTCCAGTCAAGTCAGCGAGCTCCGGGTTCAAGGAGAGACTCTCAAAAACTAAAGTAAAAAATGACTGAGGAAGACACCTGACATTCACCTCTGACCTCCACATTCATGTGTGCATACACATGTACCTGCATGGGCACATACACATGAACACATACAAACCAAAAAACTCAGAAAATGTTCTGTGTAAGTGAAAGTAATAGTTCTTTGTTTTCACTCGAGAACAATCTGAGTTAAAACAAGCTTCAAGGCCGGGTGGTGGTGGCATATGCCTTTAATCCCAGCACTCAGGAGGTAGAGGTAGGCAGATCTCTGTGAGTTCAAGGCCAGTCTGGGCTACAGAGCGAGATCCAGGACAGGCTTCAAAGCTACACAGAGAAGCCCCATCTCAAAAACAAACAAAAAAACAAGCTTCAAATTCTTTCTTTGTACAGTGAAATTACATATGTATATATTTATATGTATATTTACCTAAGAATATAGATAGAGACACAAACACATACATACCCAGACAGTCTGTCAGGGCTCTCTGTTCAGCAGTTTGTCATGGTGCTTACTTCAGTACAAACCTAGAGTAAAGTAAAGAGAGAAAAAAAAGGTTTTGTGTAATATTTTCTACTTTCAAAATAGAGGTATATATTACCTCATTTTTAAACACACTATTTTCATGGTTATATATTTAATTAACCAGGCATACCCATACCTCATTGTGTTCATAACAGCAACATTAGCCACAGCATCTTTATTAAGTACTGAGGCTAATAACAGAGATGGCTATTATAACTGCTATTGCATTTTTATATTCCCTTTTAAATATATTTAGTTTTTTTTCTTTTTTTAATTCCTTTTAAATTTATAAAATTTATCTTATTTGTTTGGAGGGGGGACTGGCACACATGCCCCAGCACTGGTGTGGAAGTTAGAGGACAATTTTATGGAATCAGTTCTCTTTCCCCTTCACCTGGAACTGGCACTGAACGTCTGTCATCAAGCCTGCACAGCAGAAGCCTTTCCTTGAACCATCTGGCCAGCACTCTTGCAACAGTTTTTAGGTCTTGTCATTTCATAATATCCTCTTTACTTTTGGCTTACACTGATTTAATTTCTAATAAGTCAAATCGGTAATATAGCAAGAGAATAATAAGCCTTAAACATTTTGTTACAAAGAAATCTGCTTGGGATTGAGCGAGGCTCAGCAGTCAACAGCATTTATTACTCCTGCAGAGGACCCAAGCTCAATTCCCAACACTCATGGAGAGCAGCTCACAACCACCTGGAACTCCAGCTCCAGGAATCTGACACCTTTGGCTTTCATGGACAACTGCACTCCAATGGACACACTCCACACAGATGCACTCATATACACATGATTTTTTACAAAATAATACAAATAATGCAAGTAGCTGGCTGGTGGCAGCACACGTCTTTAATCCCAGCACTCAGAAGGCAGAGGAAGGCGGATTTCTGTGAGTTCGAGGCCAGCCTGGTTAACATAGTGAGTTCCAGGACAGACAGCTGTTACACAGACAAACCCTATGGCAGAGGTTGGGGAGTTGGGGGTGCTAATAATAATAATAATAATAATAATAATAATAATAATACAAGTAAGTCTAGTAGCATGGCTCACGACTCCAGCCTGGGGATTTAATGCCCTCTTCTGGTCACTGCAGGTGCCTACACACAGGCACATAACTACACACACACATACACATACACATACACACACACACACACACTCATCATCATCAAATTTAAAAAGAAAAACTGAGCCAGGTGATGGTAGCGTACGCCTTGAATCCCTGGACTCGGGAGGCAGAGGCATGCAGATCTCTGTGAGTTCAAGGCCAGCCTGGTCTACAAAGCCAGTT